ATCCCCTCTAACACCCTTAAATTTTAAAAAAAAAAAAAAAAAAAAAAAAAAAAAAAAAAAAAAACAGGGAGTGACATGCACGAATGACACACAGCACTCCTTTTATGCCGAGATTGATCTTGTTGTCAAGTTAAAAACAGGCAGGTCAACAGCCTTTTGGATCGAAACGTTCTACTGAGATGAGGAGGATACCTGCCACTGACGAAGAATAGCAAACACTCTTTTAGACTTGTCACGAGGGCCCTGGCGAGAGAGAGAGAGAGAAAAACAAATAAGCTTAACTGTCTTTGGTTTTCTTTTTTTCTTTTCCCACCACCCCCAGATATTATTCGAGCTTTCTACTTGCCTGTGCTTGGGTGCCACCTTGTGCGTTGGAGTTCTTCTTTGTGGGCATGAGGAGGTCGAGAGCAGCTTTCCAGCCCTGCTGATTAACGGTCGAGGTTCTGGCCAAAGACGACAAGGCTCTTGGATCCATATTCTCCTTGCCCTCAGAGATCCAGGGACACCAGTCTCTGTGTTGAGCGAGGGGGTCAAACGCTTTCTTGGGCAAAGGGCCATCCTGATAAGACATTTTTTTTAAAATTAAAAGATGAAATAGTGAGTTTCCAGGGTAACTAATCAAATTTAACTACAAGAATTTCCAGGACGCCCAGTAAAAATGCAATATTAAGGACAATAATTTAAGCCACCTAAAATGGGATTTTCTTTCAAAATTATAGCTCCAATTATCTTTTGTTTTGTCTTAGGTCTAAAAATAGCTAAATAAAACAAAATGCATCGTCAGTGCTGCAGAGGATCACTTCAACATGGTGCGCAGAAGTAACTTTTAGTCTTACTGGACCACCGGCCAATGAGAGACACAGGCGTTTGGGAGGGTGCAGGTTGGCAGCGCCGTCAGTCCCTGAGCCGAATCCCTGTCCCCGACTCCGGGTTGCAGGCCTCTTGCCTCTGGTTAAAGGACTCGGCAGATCTTCACTTGGACTCGGCGAGTCTCTGCTTCGGGCACGAGAGGCTACTGGAGAGGCGGTACCTTCATCCTGCATCAGACGCAAACACAAGTCAAGCTGGCATCTGCTTGTTATAGGACTTTGCTGTGGGCACAAAGCTTATGTTGGGTATGGATCACGGAATACGACACATTTCATCTGAAAAAACGCCTGATACCTGCAGGAAAGGCATATAATCAGGAAAACTTTACATTTGGACTGAAACATTGTTGTTTACTGCAGGGTTTGATCAACAAACCCCAGAAGTGAACTCTGCTTGTCCTGTCCTGATACTTGACAGCAGCTCCAGTTTTAAAACAACCATTTATTTATTTTTATGCAACACTTTTAAGCATTTGACAAACTAATCTCTGTTTTTAGATGAAGTCTAAAAGAGTTCACTTCTTCTGGCACGTTAGCTTCCTTAGAGCTTGCCTGGTCAGTGCGGGTGGAGTCCTGACTCCGAAGCTTCATGCGACATGGAGTTGTTGGCGCTGGAGTGGGTGAGACTGATCCGGAAGCGTCTCCGTCGGACGCTGCTGACGCGGGCCCTGCGGTGGGACCAGAGGGCCCTGCGGGGTTTGGTGGCGCTTCTGCGTCGCCGCCGAGCCCCTCTATCTGAAGGAAGTTCCACAAGCCCACCTTTCGCATACAGTAGGAGCAGGAGACGGTTGGCAGGCTCATTGCATGCAGAGCTGGGCTGGATAGAGAGAAGAGCACACTGGTTATGAATTTCTTTTTTGTTATGCGATATTGAAGAAAAATGCATCTTACCTTGCTCCCCAGCCACAGAGAGAAACGATGCATGCGGACACCTGCACGGCCAAAGACTCGGAGCAGGGAGTCCCTCCCTTTCGCTTCTGTTCTTCGTCAATCAACTGCAGCACAGTGCTGATCACATCCTCTGTCAGAGACTGCAAAAAGTAAAAGAAAAACAAAACCCACACAGGACAGACACTTACTTCAGGATAACCAAAACATGAATTTGGATATGTCAGCTATCCTCTTTATGCAGTCCCCAGAAACACTTCACTTTACCATGGACTTGAGCAGCTCTGGACTCATCGCCGGAAGCTGCTGCGCCAGGACGCAGGTGCTCTGGAAGCGCTCCAGAAGGGAAGTAAGAAGCTTTGATGGTTCAGAAGCTGGAACCAACCAGAACCGCTCTGGGAAAAATGAATATTTATTATGAAAATACCAAAGACTTACACCGTGGCTGCATTAAACACAACTCAATAACTGCTCCTACCTGGACAAGGAAAGTCGGGCCAAGGACAATACTTTTCATGCTGCGTTTGAAGCTGCCTCGATATTTCTGCAACTCGAGTTTTATCTATTTGAAGAGTCAAAGAGAGAAAACATTTAGTAACCTCAGCGAAGCCAAAACGGTTCCAGCTCTGGAGAAAGTTAGCTGCTTGAAGTCTTGCTTACATTTCTCAATGTCTAACGTTGGCTGTAGGGATGCACAAAGGAAAGCCTGGCAGCTGGAGCACTTAAGCATATCACAGCCGACGTTGATCCAACCGTACCTGGCGCACATCAGGGGAGACAGGACGCGTGGCTTGGCTGCCCATTTCATACAGTGCGATGCTAAGGAAACACCCCAGTGCTATTAATAAAAACGTCCTTACATTGATAGAATGACATAAAGAGTAAAAATGCATGAAGTTATTAGCTAAGAAATAGTCCCAACAACATGCAGCAAATGGAGAATTCCTCATTGCGAGCTGCAGTGAGAAAAGGATATTGAATATGATTCCACTCTGGAGAAAAAAGCTTCATCGTTCGTAGCTTCACAGGGTGCCTGGGTGTTGCCTTTTACTTCCGGAATGTTTAAATCTCCTTGTCTGCTGAATAAGACAAAAAAAAAAAAAAACATCTTGACATAATTAGTAACAAAGTATTATATATTCTTTCTGAAGAACAGTGTAAAAATCCCATTATTGTTTACAATTTTCAGTTTGTTTGTTAGGGAGGAAATTAAAAGAAGAAAAAAAAACAGTTAAGTGAATAGGATTGCTCAAGATTCATAATGAGTTTCTTGTCAGAATTTGATAATTTCCTCTTTCACGCAGTGTTAACGGTATCAACAAGAAGAATCATGAAGAAACAAATAAGGCTGTAAACAAGAAGATGGATGGATGGATGACAAAAATATGAATAGATAAAAGAGCAACAGCAAGATGAATGGACAAATTGTTGAAGTGAGACTATGATGGGGAGGGGATTGACAGACGGATAGGCAAAAGGATGGATGGATGTACATGCAGACAGATGAAGGACAAATTATCAATCAAAGCATAGATGGATGAATGAAAAAAAGAACAATGAACAGATACGTTGTGTGAGGATAAGGCAACTGATAGAGTAACAGACAAAATAGTTGATAAGCGGGCATGAAGATGGATGGTCCGATGTATAGATGGATCGATAGATACAACTAAAAAGACAGTGTGATTGGGGAAAACAGCTAAAATATCTATTACGTTAGTCTTTTTCTGCAACTCTTAAAATCGTAAACGTTTAGCCTCGACCTCTTTTTCCTGTAATTGTGCATCGTAGCTTTAGCAGCAATGCTTCACAGCTAGTTCAGGACAAAAACAAATATGCCAAATGCACCACAGCTGTAGCATGCTCGTGTACTGCACCCAGTCCTGTCTTTCAGGTTCTCATAAACCTCAGCAAAGCGAAGGCGCGGCTACATTGAGCTACTCGGCTAAGAGTCTAAGCCGTAAGCTAACGTAAACATACAAGGAAATCGCGTGTTGGTTGGCATTAATTACCTGTTGCAATTGACGTCTACTGCAGATACCCCCTCATTAAGAAGTTCACGGACTTTTTCAGGGGAAGCGAGGCTGGATTTATGTTGGTTGGAAATGGCAATTCGCTCCCCGCGGCTACCACCGTCCGTCGCCATGGTCGACTCTGAATGGTTTCCCTAGAAACTAGGACCTAAGGAAAGACGTTCCTCTTTACTAACCCGCACCCCCCACTGACACCAACAAATTTTAGCAGTCTGCACATAGACATATAAAGTGATTATGGCATAAGACCACGAATTTATTCATTTATTGGTATCAGTATCATAATATAAAAATATGTCTAGCACATTATAATTTTTTTTCCACATATTTTTCGGCTATATTGGTTTAAAGCAAGTTCAAAAAGCTTTTTTTTTTAAAGAAAACTAAGCAAACAAACTAATAAATAAATAATTATTTTAAAAATACATTAAAATGACATCTGAAATAGAATTATTATTTCCACCTACATAAAAATAGCATCTAATTTAGTTCTTGAGATATTCCACTGTTGTTTACAAAGGTCAAAAACAAAAGGTGGAGAAATGTAAGTAACAAACATAGCAGAAAATGCTATTAGTAAATAACATAAATTCTGTCTGGATCTCTTTTTGCCACTGCACTTTAGATTGGCACTGGGGATACTTTACCCAAGGTTCATAAGTTTTATATTGAAAAAGTATTGCATTAGAAACGTGTTTTCCTGCCTAAATCTGTTATTTTGTAAATATGTTATGCATGTCTATGATTTTTTTCGCTTTTGACTATAAAACTATCCATTTGATGACAGTTACTGACTGACTTTTACAAAATACCTTTTTACTCTTACACGAGTAATTTATTGGACAGTCATTTTAGTAAAAATGCATTGAAATACTACATTTACTTAACTACATTTCTACCTACATTGAATTTCATAAATATATATTTGATTCACACCTACGACCAGTTGGTGGCGCTAACTGCTCTAAAACATTGTCTTCCAACTGCTTAGCAATACCAGAAGAAGAAGTGTGTCATCACCGGTGGAGCTAAAAGGAAAACTGTGAATGGCTTCAAAATAGGCTGGAATGCGAAATGAGACATATACGCTTTATCGGGCGTTGCGTTTTTTCCATGTGACATCCAAAGGGACTGGGCAGTAAAGGGAGAAGAAGGGGACAAAAGATGTCGGACGTTGAAGGCGCTGACAGTTCAGAGCAGCTGAATAAATTTGAGAAATTGACAGGCAGGCCGCCGCGCGGACCGATGTTAGCAGGTAGGTCAACAACAACAACAACGTTGACATCTCGACGTAATGTTTAATCTCAGCTTTCATGTCACATATTGAAGATTGGCTCAGGGCAGTTTCTCCACTCAGAGTGCCTCCTCACAAATTCCTCTGATAAACATCACATTCATGCTAACAGCCACTCATACTAGACATTTTAACGAGATGTTTCAGGTGTGCGTTGGAATGGCAGCAACATGGCTCTGTTTTGTTGATTACCAAACGGTTTAAAGCTTTTCTGTTTAGCTTGAAGATGCACTGCCTTCTCCTGCCTTCTATATGTTTGACATTTGCTGTATCAACAATTCACATCAGTCAACCTACTGATCTGACTCAGTATGTTGATTCAGAGATACACCTGCTCAGGTATTTTCTTCTTTTTTTTTTTTTTTGGTTGTTTTATTGTTGCATCAGGAGGCTCGCTTAAAGAGTTGTCACCACCCTGAGATGATGTACAAATTTATACTCATCTCGAATCCTCTGCATGCTAACATATACACGCAGAAGTGTTTTTCCTCCTTGCATATTTACAGTTTGTGCTGTAAATATGTTATGATCCACACTTGTTGGATCATAAAACAAGTGTGAAGCCATCCAAATCAATCAAGACTGTTTGTGAAAAGTAATCACCCTCAAATCTAATAACTGGTCGTCCCATCCTTGACAACTACTATCAAGCTTTTGCTATACCTGGAAATTAATATTTTTCGTCAAAGTGTTAGAATTTCCCCCAGCTCTTCTGAGTTCTCAAGCAGGAATGACCTATTGAAGCTCATTTTACACAGTGATTTTTAGTCCAGGCTTTGACTAGAACACTCGAAAGCTTCATTATATTCTTACTGAGCCATTCAGAGGTGGGCTTGCAGGCTTGTTTCAAATTACCGTTCTGCTGCTTAAGCGATCTTAAGGACAGAAACTAATGACGAAACATTCAGGATTTTTAGCTAGAAAACTGAATTGTTTTTAATTAAGTAAAGTTGTACATCTCTTGAATCAGTGAAGCAGCTACTACAACCACCACTGTGCCAGAATATCTTAATCACATTTAAGTCTTTTGAAGACTTTTTTGACTAGGCTTTTAGACATTTAGAGGTTGACCTCCCGTTCCTCTAGTCCTTTTGCGTGTGTGTGCTTGGCCTTAAGGTCACACACCAATGACCGAACTTTCTTCTTCATTGAATTTCTACTAGACAGCAGAATTTCTGGTTCTCCAGGCCCTGAACTTCCCCCACCAATTACCACCACTGAACTAGACAAACGCTTAAAAGGTATTTTATGTCCCCCTTGTTCCACCTTGACTCCTCTCTGTCCAGGTCCTCGAACTCCTCCCGCCCGCAGCGGCCATCGCTGCGTCGCTGACAACACTAACCTGTACGTGTTTGGGGGTTACAACCCGGACTATGAAGAGTCGGGAGGCTCCGAAAACGAAGACTACCCGCTGTTCAGGGAGCTTTGGCGGTACCACTTTGCCACGGGCTGCTGGCAGCAGATTCGAACCGAGGGTTACATGCCCACAGAGCTGGCGTCTATGTCAGGTGAAACTCTTGTCCGGCTTGCCTGTAGTTTAGAAATCGAAGGCCCCGTTGTTCAATATTGAAGGCGGCGTTCTCACACGGAGTTTGTTGTTCTGTGGTCTCTCCAGCTGTTTTACACGGCAACAACCTTCTGGTGTTCGGCGGCACTGGGATTCCCTTCGGGGAGAATAACGGCAACGATGTCCACGTTTGTAACGTGAAGTACAAGCGGTGGTCGCTGCTCAACTGTCGAGGGAAGAAGCCAAACCGGATATATGGACAGGTAGCTGCAGGAATCAGTTCTACGTCTGCGTATTGGACAATTTCTCTTTTTAGTGTTTTATATTTGGATTCTACAGTTTGTTTGTTTTTTTTCCTCTCCAGGCGATGGTCATTATAAATGGCTTCCTGTACGTGTTTGGCGGAACGACAGGTTACATCTACAGCACAGACCTGCACAGACTAGATCTGACCACCAGGGAATGGATCCACCTCAAGCCCAACAACCCGCCTGACGACCTGCCGGAGGAAAGGTAGAGTGCTGCACATCAAACTGCCACTGAAAGCCAAATACTTATGTTTTCTACTCTCCAAAATGCCCTTGACATCACTTCCTGTTTCTGCGCGTCACAGATACAGGCATGAAATAGCACATGACGGACAGAGGATTTATATTCTGGGAGGTGGGACTTCCTGGACGTCGTACCCTCTAGATAAGGTACGACACCGCCAGTTTATCTGTATCGATGTTAAAATATTAGTTATTGTAAAATGTTTTGGGTTTCCTGTTTGTAGATACATGCTTATAACCTGGAGACAAACTCTTGGGAGGAGATCACAACTAAACCTCATGAGAAAATAGGTGTGTATGATGCACTTTTTTTTCAGAGTTCAGCCTGCTTTTTCTACTAAGTTCTTTGGAAGCAAACCTGCTCCTTCAACTCTTTCATATTAGGTCACATTCTATTGAGATTTTATGTGGTAAGACCAACAGAAAAGTTGTAAAGTGAAAGGAAAAACTCTAAATATTAAAAAAAAAAAAAGTAAAGATGTGAAAAGGGGGGGCTGCATCTGTGTTCACTCAATACCTCTTAGAACCACGATGGCTCTTTTGAGGCGTCTTTGGAAATAGTTTGAGCTCAGTCATATTGTGAACAAAGTACTCAATGTGAAATCTCCAAAAATAAAAAAGTAAAACTTCCCCACTTTCTGACAGGATATCCTGCTCCTCGACGATGCCATAGCTGTGTGCAGATACGCAACGGTGAGACAGACGGAACTAAGAAACACCTGCTTGCTTTTCGCATGCTGGCAAACTTAACACACAACCTGTACTTTCCCCTTTCTTTTTTTTTTTTTGCTGTAGATGTATTTATTTGTGGAGGCTACAACGGGGAGTTGATACTAGCCGATCTGTGGAAACTAAACCTGCAAACCTTCCAGTGGAGTAAGCTACCAGCAGAGATGCCTGAGCCAGCCTACTTTCACTGTGCTGCTGTAACCCCTGTTAGTACCTTTCTCCTAATTAAAAAAAAAAAAACAAAAACAAAAAAAAAACTTAAAATTCACCTGTTTGTTACACAATAATAACATTTTGGTGTTTTTTGCCAATGAAAATTTGTGTAGTTTTGACTGGACTGGGAATGAACGTCTTATTAGTTTTGACCATTTATTTGCACTTTTTCTTCCTGATATTTGTTCTTTCAGCAAGTTGCAGAGAAAACACTCTTCCGTCCTAGAATTCAACAAATAGGTTGTCGAAGAATGAACATGATGCTTTAAAAAGTCAGCAAGCGTGTGAAATAAATCCAGAAATTCATATTCAACTAAAAGCGTGTTTTCATAAGACGCACAGCTTCATTATCTGGCGTCCAGCCAGTCAGACTGTTCTAACGCTGCTGTTCTTCCCAGGCCGGCTGCATGTACATTCACGGAGGCGTGGTGAACATCCACGAGAACAAGAGGACTGGCTCTCTGTTTAAGATCTGGCTGACTGTTCCCAGCCTGCTGGAGCTGTGCTGGGAGAAGCTTCTCAAAGCCTTCCCCCACCTGACTTCTCTCCCCACCTTTCACCTGTACAACCTGGGCCTCACGGAGGAGCTCGTAGACCGTGTCAAGTAGGCGCAGAGGAACGGGAGAATTTTCCCAGCAGGACTCTGGACGATGTCTGATGTAGCCCCCCCCCCCGCCTTAAAGCCAAAAACAATGGGATGCCTTTTTTTTTTTTTTTCTTTTTTAAGTTCCCATATTTTTTTTATTTTTTTTTTTTTTTTTTTGTAGATACAGTGATGAGTGTCAATATTTTTTTTGGAATGTTTCATGGATTTTACTCTAATCCCTGTGCCATCACTACATCCGTACAGCGTTTGGATTCTGGACGTCCGCTTCCGACAAACTGACAAGTTGTAAAACGATACAAAAACTATATTTTGCCATGTGAAAAGTCAGATGCTATTTACTCTCACTTCTGCAAATCCTCCAGATATTTTATAAATTCAGAGTGAAGGGAATAATGGATGTATATTTATTTCAAGGACTTGATCACTTTTTGCTGGAATCCCTCACCCCATCATGAACTGATATTGCTCTTTGCACATTTTCTCTTCTCTGATGTTCTCGTTGATAATTTTCTCATTTAATAGATCCTTTATTCATCTGTGGCTAGTTATTTCAGTCTAAAGAGGGTGACACATCGGTTTGCCAATTTCTCACAGTTACACTGACACCATACAGCTCTTATTGTCCTTTCCCCTGAGGGGACCTTCTCCGCTCCAAGTTGTCAGATGAAGTAATAGTCGTGCAAGTTTCAGCACTCGAGTTATCTTGCCAATTTGCACGGACAGACAAACAAAGCTTTTATCTCGCCTTCGGAAACGTTATGAAATGTTTTAGATCATTTGTGGTCAAATTGCCTAAAACTTGTGCAGACCCTGGGTCTTCATTGCCATGACGAGAACATTTTCCAATTTTTTTTTCGCCCTGCCCCCCCCCCCCCCCCCCGACGTTATTTTACGGCGTAAACGTAAAACGAAGGAGAATACTTGGGTTATTTCCCCGATTGTGTCGACTCCTAGCTTTATTTGTGAAACCGCACCTCACTGTGAATCGGGTGCTGTTTAAATCTTAAGCTTTTCGTTCGATGACGCTTTTTACCTTCTGTTGAAGACGATGGCTTTGCACTGAGAGCTGCTTCAGTAGCACAGTCGTTGATCCTGCAGTGCCTTTTTCTGAGATGCATGTTTAACCCCTTCGGATATTCCAGTCGGTGCATACACGTGCTCATTTTTAAACTTTCCCCTGTAATAACCAGATCAGTAACTCCTAAATCGACTGCAGCACGTTCTCCTAAAAGAATTCTTGACACTTAATGTTTTAAAGACACCAAATATTGTTTCACTTTGAGATCTTTGGTTTGCCCCCCACCCCTACCAGTGCATGAATTCTCTTATTTTAAACTTCTGCACCGTTTTCCCAGATTCTTTAATGCATGATGCCTGTACCTGCTTTTCAAATGAGGGAAGAAAAAAAAAATATCTTCTAAAAATATGCTTTACAGGTTTCCTGGAAAAAAAAAGTTGTACAGTCTGATTTTATGAACCTTGTCAATAAAAGTATTGTCCAAATATAGTCTCGTTCACATGACTAATTAGCATGATAAGCAGCACCCTTTACATTCATCGTTACCCTTAAGACGTGTGGGGAAGAAAAAGCATTTAAAAGTAAAAGTCTAAGATTTAGTTGCAAACCTTTTGACTCCATATGTAGACGCAACCGACTTACCGTATTTTCTGCACTATAAGGCGCACCTCAAAACCTTCAATTTCCTCAAAAGCCGACAGTGCGCGTTATATATGGACCAAAATTGAGTCACAACAGGTCTAGCAACTACGGTAAGCAGCCGCCGACTTCATTTTCGCCCGTAGAAGAAGAAGCGCGCGGTGCATGCTGGGATAGTTGTCAGAACGCTGGTTTGTAATCTATTAAAGATTGCGGGAAATACGGTACTTTTTCTTTTATTCCCACATTTGAAAATACTTCTAGATGACTGCAATATTTCGTAGAATTTGTCAAAGCCACATAATTTATCAATTGAAAGTTTCACTAAATGCGTCAATCAGTGCGAAAATAGAAATGTCTAACATTTTATCCGAGAAATTTATTACATTTCATTTAATCACATTCCAAAAGTTTACATCAGTAGTCAAGATTCACAAATATCAAACAAAAGCACTAGGAGAATGTTTCAGAAAACAAAGGGCACAGCATCAATCGTAGGTCAGAGAAGACGATTCAAACACTCGGATCGTTTCCCAGTTTTTTGTGCATCTGAAGCCAAATCCAACGAAAATGAAAAACCGGTGATCTTTTGGCATAAAGCTGAACAGATGCATTCTTTTCTTTGCAAACAGATTAACATGAGCGCGGAGAAGGAGCGAAGAAGTAAACGGCCAAAACGATGAAATATACCGCCACTAGGGCTGTACCTGCAAACACAAAGAGGACGATTAATGACTTGCTTTTTTTAGTTTTTCTATAACAATTAGTGTTGAGCCTTGCAAAGTGGAAGCGGCAGTTTGGAACATGAGGAACTTACCCTGAAAGTAGTCACACTTCCCATCCATGAAGATGTAGTTCACCAGGATGACGCTGAAGATGCTGGCCCAAAGATGAATGTCACTGAACACAAGCACAAATCCCACATCCTGGACACAAGAAAAAAAAAATTAGATTAAGCCAGTCAAGTTGAGCAGTTTGTCACAGACAATGTGTGAAAACATTACGCCCGGCAGAGGAAAAGCTTCGCTTATGTGCGAGGTTAGGCTACTGCAATAAAAGATGAATTCCTTGACAATAACAGAGTAGGATGCGCTACATGGACAAAGAAGTAAAACATACTCACGTAGAAAGCATTAAACAGGACAAGAAGTGGAATCTGTATCATGCAAACCTGCACAGCAATGCAACTGCCTACTTCAAGACTGCAAAAGAGTTGGAAATATACAAATCTTTAGACTGTACTGAGAGATTGTCAAAAGAATTTACATCATGTGTCTCTTACATCTCCCACTACTCAAAATACTGCAGTTTGACATAAGTTTACCAAGACAAAAACAAAAAAAGATCTACTCAAACCTCAAGCTGATATTGTTTTGCAGTGCAAACTGGATCCCGTTGACGATCTCGGGAAGCTCCGGCACCATCGCCAATACGGTGACGCCGATGAAGTACTGCAGGGAAACGAGACCCATCTGAGTGCGGCTGGAAAAGTTCCAGTCTCGTCGCTTGAACAAATGGTTTGCATTTCAACTACCTGGGAGACGGAGGAATGACTCAGGATGGGCTCGATGTTGACGGTGCAAAGATCCGCACAGCTGGCCATGAGCACCGTGGCAAAAATCAGCACTGCGAGAGCCCTCCATCTGGACCAGTGGACAACAGGGTGACCTGATGGCAACAGACATCTTAACCACCACCAACACACTCAAAATACATGCATTTAAATATCTGTGTGCCACGTCTAAATGTTGACTTGGCACAACTTTTTGTTAGAATACCAACATGGTTTTTAAAACTTCAGGTTTTAGTTTCTCCTCTAACTTTTATTTATTTTAAGAGTTGCTAGTTAATATATACTGCGAAATAAATCTCACTAAAACTTTGAGTGCCATGAAATACTTTAAAAAGTTTTTCCTCAATCGTTATATATGTAGATGATGCCTTTTATTACTTTTTGGAAAGTAACATTTTAAAAAAAGCCTGTGACAAAAATGTTAAGTCAAAAACTTTTACAGCAGTCGACACTAAAAAGTTCCCTTTTCGCAGCAGTAAAAGATAGTCACAAGTTTCTATGAAAAAAAAAAAAAATATTGTTTTGCCATGCATGACTATCTTAAGCTGGAAATCAAGCACTTAAGATCATCACGTGCATGTAGTTTTTCAGGCAAGCAACATGCAAAAGGTTTTAAATATTTCATGTGAAGAACCACATGCAAGCCCACACACCTGTCGGAATGCGGCCAGGTGCAGCAATGCTGGCATTAATACACACGTTGGTCGGAACCAGATGGGCAGCTGTGACCTCACCAGTGGGAGTGTTGGTGTTGGTACCCTCCTGTGCATACTGACCGTGTGCTTGTCCCCCATGACCGTCGCTGACATGGATATCATAAATGTGAGCATGGGTCTTGAGTGTGAAGATGAGCCCGATCAGATAGGAAACAGGCAGCAGGACGGAAATGGTGTACACCAGAGGCCTGGGGGGAAGGGGGGGGGGGGAACATTTCCTAATTAATTCGAACTCAGGTGGAATAAATGCGCAGAAAATGCATTTCAGAATTTAAACGATTTTACTTACTCAATATGGGACAGAATTAAATGTGGGTCAACTGTAGTCTGTTGGGAGGGTGAGAGAAAGTGTTGCCCAAGTTTAAATATATATATATATATATATATTCCTGTAAAAATCTTGAACTTGTTCTGCCAAAAGCTGGGAAAAAGCCACCCACCGTGTCATAGTGGCAGTCCTTGCAGGTGAATGGTACGGTGCTGTTACCGGGAGTACTGGAGCAGTTTTCGCACACCAGGTTGCCAAAGGTCTTTGAGAAAAGGGTGGGTGCAAACACACCTACAGAGCGAAGCGCACATCTCACTAGGACGACTCTGGGAAAACGTTTCAAACGCGACAATCCTTACCTCCAATGGATATGAAGAGCAAAGCTGAGCTCACGCCGGCCGAGCGACTGTTAAATCTCTGCTCACTGTGTTTGATTCCTCCAATAGTCATACAAATACCCTGCAAAAGAGTTTTAGAATCAATTAGACTTGCAGGCAGGCAGGCGGCTGCGTGCTCACGCGTCCTTCAGTGACGCTTACGGGTATGAACAGAATGCACCCAATCAGAGTGCCAGCCAGTGCAGATTTGACGATCTCCTCGTAACAATTACTGCCGGCGCGATGCCCCCGAAGCAGCGCCGTGATGTAGAAGGTCATCTCCGTGATGGAGCCAAACGTCGCGTTGACTACTGCCCCCACTGCGAAGTTGCTCTGTGCGGAAATGCTGAGCAGAGCACAACACCGAAACCGGAACATGAATTCTTCGCTCTTTGTAAATGTTATCGTACTACTCCTTTTCCACATTGTTCATTTTTAAAATGCATTTGATCCGTCTAAAAAAAAAAACGAGAGGGGTTGAGGCACAACTCAAACTGTGCGTGTAAACTGACAGACTAAGAGTGTGTTAATGAGAAACGCACTCAGAGAACTGTCCTGTCAAATCACAGTGAACATCAAAGAGTACGAATACTTCTAATGCATTTTAGTTTTTGCCCCCCTCATTTGTTGAAGACAAAATGGTGATATTTTACCTTGCAATTCCCATGCCTATATAGTAGGACAGGGGAATTATGGACGTGATGGCTATCGTAAACATGGTCTCTGTGCTGAAGTATTCATGCTCTCGGTCAGCGTAGCCAGCGATTACAGTCACGAATACCAAAGGTAACAAGTCTTTAGAGATTAAGGAAAACAGACGGATGCGTCTTAAAAAATTAAAAAAAAAAATAAATAAAAGCCCTCCTTCCCCCCCCAACTATCCATTCACGACCAGCTAAAAAAAGGATACTGAGAGCAAAGATGTTGATCCCTTGGACTGTGTATTTGTAGTAATACACATTGAAGGCCTGATAACAGTACAAGACAACTCTTGTCTGACACACGTCCTTCTGGAAGATCAAAAAAAGAGCAAATGGTAAAAAAATATATATAGGCTATATAATAATTACTTAACTAGTTGAAAGCATTGCAGGGCGATCAGATTAAAGGAAGTCGGTTGCAACAAGGAGTCATTTATAATGATCTACCTTTAGCCCTACGACAGAAAATAATTTAAAAAAAGTTTTGGTTTCATGGGCAGAAAACTCAACCAAATCCCATTATGCACCCTACTCACAACTTTGCATAAATATGATATGTTCTTCATGAATGGCCATTGTTAAAATCAACTCATAGGAAACCTTATCCAGCGAATGGATCTCGATGTCCTCCGGTGCCATGAGGAGGACTGTGGTCAGGATGCGGCTGTTCATCTTTGCAATGGGGATGGTGAAGACCGGGAGCCAGGACAGGACAAATGCGAGGCAGTGGACCACAGCCAGGACTGGGTAACCCAGCAACAACCAAAGGAAAGTGCCGACGCGGCACTGCGGAGACACAACGGGGGAACCGACTTAGCGGCATGAAAATCGTGGATAGTCATGCAATGCATTCTGACGCTCTCACCCAGTGCTTTGTGGTTTTTCTTGGCGGACGAGTCGGAGCGGGGATCTCAACAGGGAGGGGGGAGGACACCAGAAGAGGTGCACAGTCCTTGTCCCCAACCAGATCCTTATCGTCGTGCTCCTGTGGAACAATGTCGCAGTTTGTCGGCTTCACGGCAGACAAGTCAACTAAACGACAAGCCTGGAATTTTAAAGAGTTGAATATAGAAAATAGTCCATTGGGGGGGGAAAAAAGCATTTGCCTAGAAAATGTGAAGGATTTATATACATTTACCCTTTGTATGGATTTTCCAAACGGCCAAATTATATACCAGGCCAACTTTAAACAGACTTTACCTGAAAGGAGCGAAAAAATGGCTCAACAACATGCAGTAAAAATGCTCATGTTTCTTAATGATGCAGTTGGTTCTTGAATACATACCATAAGGGACACCAAAGACAGTCAGAAACATCACAGGGCAAATGAGCAGGTAGGTTAAGGAGACCCACCAGCCAAATAAAAACACATACACTATGTTCCCAACGGTGACCACTGGAACTGGAGGACAGAAAGTAAAGAGCTTCCAGGTAAGAGCAAAAATGCTTACGTGCAAGCATAAAAATTCAATAATAGAGCTGCACAATATGTCACAAAGTAATCATCGTTTCAGTGCCACTGCACTTGGATTTGGCGAAGAACTAACTAGACAAGACTATATGTGCTGCTAGGCAATTATTCAAATGCCAGGTATTTCTGCCCTCTATGAAATATTTTGCAACATTTACAATATGGAGCAAAATTTCAGAAGGTAAAAAGGGATAAGGAGTCAGAGTTTTTAAGGGACATCAGCCAAGTCATTTCATTCCCAAAACAGCAAAAGTTGGCCAAAAGCAATTTCCAGTAAAAACCACATTAAGGTGGAAATAAAGTGTTTGGTTTTGTTGTTTTCTTTCCCCCAAAGCTGGACAGATTGCTCAGTATCCAGAGTCAATATTTGCAATGCATCAGAAAGCCAGTTTTTAGTAAATTGGTTATTTATCCCAGAGTTATATCTTTGCAGCAGCATTCTCAAACAACAGCACATTTCCCTTGTTTTCCTAATATTGTGCTCTCTCCTGTTGAACAGATAGATAGAAAAGACCTTCAGTGTTCTTAACGATGCTGAGGTCGGTGTGCAGTTCCTTGTCGATGTCAGATCGGTCTTCGATTGGTTTCTCGGTCACGTTGCCCTTCCATTTTCTAAATCCAAACTGGAAAACGAAACGAAATGCAGAATGTTACGTTAACGTAGACTTTTATACCACCTTGGAAAAATTTTCATCCACTGGTTTTTCTCCCATTCTTCGTAGCCAAAACATCTCAAGCTCAGTCAGATTGTACTTGGTGTTCAAATTTTGCCACAAATTTTTTTTGGCCAAATCGTTCTTTTTTGGGGGGGGTTTGCATTATTTGATCAGCAAAATGTGTTGCAGATATCTGCCATATCCTCCACATTACTTGTGACGAGCCGAAAGCAGGCTTTCGAACATTGTTCTTTACTACAGATCTCTTCAACCCCCTACATCTTCTTTTGTCACTTTATTCACTAAAAATATTTTTGATTCGACGCAGTAATTGTCCCCTACCTTGTAGTTGTTAGCCTCTCTGTGTGCTTCCACCTCATTGTCGACTCTGATGGTCGTCCTCGAGGTGCCATCATGCCATCCTTCCTCTCCATGCCTTGGGGGAGAGTTCCCATGTGCTCCTGTTGTAAATGTGAATTGTTTTGTTGTTGTTGTTGTTTTTTTAGCTATTCTTTTATCCAATTCAGACATGACAAGTGGAGGAATCGGGACGATAAGAGAGGTTACTGAGAATAAACTCATTCACCTCTGGAGACAGCAAGCAGGCACTTTGGCGTGAACTGGCAGAAGTGATGAACAGAGCCGTCGGGGGAGGGTGTCGCCAGTGCGCCCACATCTGGATGATGGGGCCCAACAAACAGCCTCTCAGGCTGGATCTGCAGCCGGGTGAACCGCTGATGATGCTCAGGATCGCAACAGTTATCTGAGGAGAAAATAGAAAAAAAAAAAAAAGTCTCATTCACAGTCTGGATGTGGATTGTGACTGACATGCACAGCTAATGCCCTCCTGTGGAAATGTGTGAGACTAACAAAAACCTCATGAGAGTCATGCAGCGTTCTTCTCCATTTGCCCTCTTCCAAGACTGATCACATTTTTAATGCATTACAGCACACAAATGAGAGGGCTATGCTTTGATTTGAAATTCAAAACATAGACATGCTGGTAATACAATACGTGATCTGTATGCACAAGAGAGAAAGTTTTCTACATAAAAAAAAAAAAGTCTAAAACGATAAATGACTTTTGGAAGCAAGTTAGTCAGTAATTCAAAATTGATTTTATAAACAACATAAAATATACACAGCAACACATAATTCAGTATCATTGCAATAAATAATCCAAGCTGTGATAATCAAATCGTGTTTTCTTCCCAGTAGTTTTAAACATACAATCTTAACAACGGCATCAAATTGGACAAAAAGTTCCAAAGTAATCATAACGTCCCTAAAATGTACTTCTGAGGACCTTGCATGCAAAAATGTAACTATTAAAACGTAAAAAATTGAGATGTCTTGACTGCGCAGGTGGATTTAAGACAAAATCAGTTAGCCACAAAGCATTAAGCAGACTGATTAACAAAAACGCACATACAGGTGCGCATTAGTTGGGAGAAAATGAAGCAGTTTGTACCACCTGTTGATTCAGCCACTGATCTTTTCCGAAGGCTGTCGACTTCTCCAGGCAGCAGTGAAGGCGTTTTAAATGACATTTCGTGTGTTTCCCCCCACTCTCCAAATGAGCTCTCAGTGTTTGGTCTCCCCCTTATGTCAGCCGGCCCACAGACTGGCGTGTCATTACTGACAGAGAGGGTGGTGTGCTTCAAGCTGTGCTTTTTATTTTCTTCCTCCATTGCAAAATTTTAAATTTACTCAGTTTCATTTTATGCTTAATTAGGCTTTATTATCATGATTAACCTCTAAATATTTTTTGTTTTTGTTAATATCTTTTGACAAATCTTTGACTTTTCATCGCATGTCTGATTTAATGAAAGCGTGTGTTTAGCGCCCCCAAGCGGTTTAATTGGGACCCAGCACGAGACGCAGCAAAAGCCGATTTCAGCTTTATTTATAGAACACGTCGTGTACAATTATCACAAACTCACTATGCTCAAAAAAGAAAGGTAAAAATAATTAAAAAAAATAAATAAAAAGACATTGGTAATTTATAAAACGCCTTTCACAAAAGCATGAATAAAACACGTAATAACAGGTGAGCTCACATATAGATTCATATTGACAAAAATAAAAGTCAAATGTATGTAAAAGGCATTGGTTCAACACAACATGAACATAATTACTAACAGCACCAAACTCCTGATTCTGATTTGATTCTTGGCATAACCACAACCTATGAACCTAAAAGGTCTGTGTTACCATCCATGAGTATATCTTTAATTGTATCTTAAATTATATCTTAAATTGTGACAGATTTTTATCATGTTACAACCATACTGTTTTTTTTTTCTGTGACAGACTAATGGAAAGTACTGCTTAACTGTGGGGTCCATGTTTCTTTTAAATTAGCATCTAGAGTGCATTGTGCATTTGCGTTCATCCTTCATCCTACTGTGCCACAGGAGGAGCTGTAGAAATCCTCAGCTCAGGTGGGAAAGTCTGTATATCGGATCGGTCAGAGGAGAAAAAGCTGACATAAAAACAAAACATTGGTCGGAGCACTGAAGACTGACCAGGCTTATTTTTCTGTGGTATTACTTTTATTTCCATATAAAAACAAACCAAGCATAGCTGCACAGTTAAGTGAAAGTATTATTTTCTACACAACAATGTTGTGAAACGGTCTATAAAAGCAGAAGTATTTACTTTCCAAGGACATTAAAAAAAACAACACTCTTGATTTAATATTTGAATGGTTCCTGAACATGAGCTACGCCACATTTCAGTTATTAAAAGCATAGCTTAAATAAATCTGACATGATTTTCACTAAATACAATAAAAAATAGAAGGTTTTTTTGTGTGTGTCTTGGCTATGAAACAATATAACTGCATGCATGAACTTGCACCTCACCACTTTGTTTTGGTTAAATCACAAATAACAGTGAAAGAGTTCAATACAGTCAACTCATCCCTTTTTATTGATCAACTCTGCAGAACCTGTGAGCTACTTGCAGAGTCGTACAAAGAATATAAATAGCACCTTAATTTAGACAGGGAAACAAGGAAATATTCTGCTGAGAAACCAAGCATCTGTGATACAGATGAAACACAAAACCATAGAGGACAATAACATCCAGAAACCACTTTAAACATAATATATACAACAGTATATACAGTACAAATACATATTTCTTTTCTCTAAATGTACAAAACAGAAAAGCGGAAAGAAAATCAGACAAACGCAGTTTCATAAAAGTGTTTTTTTTCTTCTTCTTCCAAACAAAAGACAAAGAGATGCATTATTGCACCAGGCAACAAAGCAAATATCAAAGAGTTTTGCACAAGAACGTTGTGGTTCCACAAAGTCAAGAAACATTAAGAACAGGGACACCAGGGCAGACAAAGGGATCGTCTGTCAAACTCAAGTAAACCAATGAAGTGTGAGGTGGCACAGTCTCGTGCAGACTTCATTCTTCTTCTTTGTGCCACTTTTACTGTACTGTTTGAATTAGTGATTATTTTTCTAATACTGGTAACATTAGAGCATCAAGTTAGCTCATTTTTAGTTTCAGTAGAGGAAGGCATATATTATATGTTGTTTTTTTCCCTCTGGCTCGAGTAAGCATATATATATATATATATATATATATATATATATATATATATATATATATATATATATAATACAAATTACACTGTTTTAAAACAGCTCTGAACAAAAATGTAAAGTTATTATATGGAAGTGTTCCTCCTGATAAGGTGCCCCCACATTAACCCATGCTAACAAGACACGAATAGCTTAGCTGCCTGATCTGTTTTGTTGTCACAGAGTTGTTGTTGCTTTTTTCTTACTTTTAAAGAACACATTAGATGATAATGTACAGAATATGGTATAAAAACTAATATTTTTAAAAGATATTTACATTAGTTTATTTCTCTATCATTCCCACACATTTTCCTAACACGCTCACTCAGACACACTCACACAATGTAAATAACAGACTTGAAACTAATCGTACATTTAGGATCTTAGTGATGTTGGATCTGGTACACTTGAGTAGGAATCTCTTAAAGTTACTTTTTCTTTTTTTTTCTTGCTCACTCTGCAGTTTTAAAAGTCAGAGTCAGCATCCATTAGCTCCGCCTCCATTAAATTGGTCCTGGAGTGGATGGGTCCGTAGCCTGCCCTGCGGCCCGCCGGTACCCGAGCCACATGAGCCATTCTCTCTGACAGCCCGTCGGCATGCTCCACCTCTCCGGGGTACATTGACGATCCACTGGGCTGCCAGTTTGAAGTCAAAGGGCGACAGCTTGGCCTGAGGCCCAGATTTTCCGGACAATCAACTCGGGTCATCAGGTAGCCGTTTCTGCCGCTCTGGCACTCCAGGTATGAACACCTCTCCTCGCAGGGTTCGTAATCCGGCAACGAGCCCGGCAGGACCCCTTGCTCCAGCGACTGCTGCCTCTGCTGTTCACGCAGATTGGCCACCAGGCTCGGGTGGCAGGGAAGCTTCGGCAGGCGAGGAACCGAGCTGCGGCTAAACTCTCGCTGAAGGCGAGTCTGGTTTTCCACCACCTCGTCAGGCTTACGCACCTCCTTCCTCCTTTTCTTCTTCTTCTTTTTCCTCTTTATCATCTCAGGTGATATGTCTGCCTCCACCATCCACAGTCTGTTCCTCTCCTCTGGAGGGGGCACTGTCAGAGCAGACGAATTATTGTAAGAACAAATGCAAAAGGTTTAAGGGATGTTTTGGTTTGCCAGATTGTAAATGAACAAAAGTGAACAGAGGAGCAGAAAATGTCAGAACAGACCGGTTCAATGTAAAACAGCCAAAATCTCACCCGGAGTCCCAGTGGGAGTGACAGAAATGTCCTGAGGCAGAATGGCTCCCCGTCTGGCGACCATCTTGGGTACATGTAGGGCCCATGCTGATGAAACATCGTTGGATGGCTCGTTCAGGTCAAAATTGATTCCAGCTGTTAAATGAGAAATCAGTTTGAAATCAGAATCGTCTTAAAGTCTGAAAGTCTGATCCTGGAGGCTTAAGGCTTAACCAGCAGCCTTACAGTTTCCACCAGTCCTCTGAAATAAAATATATACCCTACAAATGACAGAAAAGTTTCAAGTGGATAATCGCAGACAATTTCTTTTTTATTATTATTATTTTCATTTATTTATTTAAGTTAGAACCGCCATTTGAAAATAAACCCATGCAGTTGCACTTACAGCTCACAAGATGGCGCTATTAGTAGGGTTCAGATACTAACCCACTGGGCCATCATGTGACACAGTATGCATGCTGAAGGACAGCTCCTTCTCCGGGTCCTTGTGGAGCTCCTTTCTCATTGCAAACGCCTTAGCAATCATCTTGCTCTTCTTTATCCTCTTAGGTTCGTTGTCACTTCGACCAATGATCCTGGAAAAATACCAAATTATAAGAGCCCGGTAGGCGCCCAAAATCTGATTTTTCATCTCTGAAGTTGCTTAGTGTTTCCTTACTTGAACCAAGTGCGTTTCCAGATGAGGAAGGTGGCTTTGGTCCAGACCCAGGTGCTCATGGCGATTCCTGTGCCGAACATGGAGAACAGGTTGATCTTCTCCACCATCAGGCTGGGACGGTTTTTAATGGTGCATTCTGGGATGGGCTTGTTGGTTTGAGAGGCGATTGTCACGTTGGCTTCACATCTGGTGGAAACATGAACAACATTTAGACCCTTTAATTCATATAGAGATGAACTGTTGCAGCACAGGCTTGACTTATCGTTTTTTGGTACATTTAAAATACATTCATTTCCATTTCCATGAGTTGAAAGAGTAAAAATGGCAACAAAAAGAACAAATAACTGAATTTCAATGGGACAGTGAGTAAAACAATCACAAATTTCACAGCTTTTCATTGTTTTTAATGGTAACAATTTAGGTCATTATTACGTTTTCACAGACGGGGATTGAAATGGTTTGGCTACCAATCATTAAAGAAGAATCCGCCAACCTTCTTCGTGTTTAGCTTCTTTTCATAACGTGCAATTTTTTTCGTCTTTGCTAAAGATTTGCACCGTCCCTCCTCCCCCAGCATGATGCTGCCACCACCATACTTCACGGCTGAGATGATGTGTTCAAGAAGTAGCTGTTTGTCCACACATGGCCTTTCTTGTTTTTAATGTCAGCCAGGAAGTTTCCGTTTGGATTCATACGACCAGAAACGTCAAACGGTATCAAAATTTGGCTTTCCTCTCATCTTTCTTTTATGAAGGTCAGCTTTGCCAAGTGCCTGATTCGGAGTTGCATCTGAGCTGTGGATCTCTGCAGATCCTCCAAAGTTACAATGTGCTTCTTAGTTGCTTCTCTAAAAATTGTCATCTGACAAAAATAGCTAAAAAAAAAAAAAAAACCTAGTGAGAAATCTGTCTGAAGAACTTACAGCACATATTCTCTGAAGCTTCTCTCCCATTCAGCCTGGTTGAAGAAGTCATAGAAGTGACATCCAAATGTGATGAAAACAAAGCCAAACGCAAGGAATCCAAATATACCTAACGGTGAGAAAGAGAACGACAAATCACGTAATATCAGACAGATTGTTGGATTTTTCTTCCTTATTCAGAAAAAAACAAAAAACATATGACCTAGCTCAGAAAATGCAACCCATTAAGAACATTTGTCTGTGTAAACAAGGCGTTCTCCTGGGTCTTCGTATCACATGGAGGTATTAAGGGTGTTTACATTCTTTGTGCCATGTCGCCTGCCGCTTCAGACAAAGCATCTGTTTCCAGAGACAGACTCGTGTTTCAGCTCAGATGTTTAGCCCTCAAATGTTAGGAAAAAGAACGGGACAGATCTTACCTAGTCTCAGCATTGTCTCGTTGATTTTGCTGGCCGCTTTCTCACTCAGCAGTCCTGGGTGGTTACTCTTGATGGAAAATAAGGTCATGACACCTAGAAGAAGAGTATTTTTAGAGGGAAGTGTTACGAGTTGAGCCCTTTTATGGATCACCAGTGGGTTGCGACTCAATAAGAACTTGTCCCATTTACTTTAGTGACTTCCAGTTACAAAGTAGATTTGCTGCTTAATCTTTCTACAGAAGAATCTAGAAAGATCAAGGGTCTATATAAGACCAGAGATGACTCAAGACCTTCAGGTTAAATACCTTCATTTATTTCATCATCACTGCATGCATGAAAGCGTAACAGATGAATTTTAAAGCACAAACCTACCCCGAATGAGAAAGTAGCCACCAACAACAAGCACCACACCAATGGGTGCCAGTACAAACCCCGCTCGGTAGTGGTAGTTCTTGTAGCCGACGAAGCAGATCCCACTCACAGAGTCTCCATCCACCTTTGGAGCACAAACACACGTACGAAACATTCATTTTTTTTATTCCATAATTCTCAAAAGCTACAACCTCGCGAGGGTTTTCTACACACCTCAGCTATAGCAAGGATGGCCACGGTGAGGACAAAGGGAATGGACCAGGTCACCATGTGGAAGTAGGAGGTCCGTCCAGACAGCGGCTGGTGAGTTGTGCCCAGAGCCTTGAAGGAGGTGTGCCAGGCGTAGGTCAGCATGACGAACCAAATCACGCCTGACATCAAGGAGTAATAGACGATGATGAAGATGGTGACGCACGAGAGCGTTTCTGAGGATCTGTGGGGAGGACATCAGTTTGTATCTATCTCTTTCGTTTTGGCCGTTGTCACCCAACGCGGTGGGGGCCGAAGCCCTCACACTTACGAGGGCTCCCCGAGCCGCATGGTGTTGTCGCTCTTGCACACAATCTCTTTGCGTGCGCCATCCAGGAACTGGGCGAGCCAGCCGATGCTGCCCACAAAGAAGCAGGCATTGATGTAGAAGAGAATGACGGCCGGGTAGCGGTTCGAGTTTTTCCAGTCAGCAAGAAACGTGGCCTGAATCAAGACAGAAGGGGAGTCGGTGGTCAGGGAAGAGAAAAAGATCCAAGTACGGGGAGGGGAAGAGGGGAGATATTAATTTCTCTCTTGACGGAGAGTGTTTGTACGTCTCACCAGAGTGAAAAAGGTGCAGAGGAGTGTGATTGTGCCAAAGTAAGCAATGTAGGCGTGCATGTCATTGTGCTCCTCTTCGGTGAACAGGGGGTTGTCGCACTGGATGCCACAACCTTCTACATCCTTGTACCAACTCGACTGAATGTCTGTCTTCACCAGAGGGGCTTCGCATTGTCCTGACGTGTTGAACTTCAGCTTCTGCACTTCATTCTGGACAGAAAATGTATATAAGTGAGGTACATCTTGCAAGAAAATGATCTTCCAAGATTTCATTGAAGGAAAGGAAGAGGCATTGAAAGATAATATGACTGTTATTTTCTAAAACGTTCAGGACAGCTGGTAAGGTTGTGACCACATTTATCCCAGTTAACATGTTTTTTCAACTTTACGGCCTAATGTCAGATTTTGAAGCAACCGAATGGAGAAAGTATCTCCCTGGAGATCAAAACACACACACGCAAAACGAGGCATACCGAACAGCCCACGGGGAATTTGTCACATTTGAGGAAATTGGGCCATCCTCTCTCCCGATCCACAATGCTGCACGGGCGACGTGTGGCCACACACAGGCTCTTGCTGGGCAGCTCCACTCGGCCATTCTCGCATTTCGGCATGTAGACGGCACAGAGCAGCGGCTGGATGACTGACCAGCAACGTGGGGCGTTTCGCAATCCTAAGACATGAAAACATCAGTAAAAATGTGGACATGTACACTAAACAGCTACACGACGTACGACAATATACATTTTGCAACTTTTTTTTTTTTTTTTTGCTACCAGTAACTGCCTGAGATGCACCAATCAGTGAGTCAGAACTTGATTTATTTCAGATGAATCATGTAAGGATGCCTTTACTCTAATCCAAATAATCCACTCAACAAGTTGCAATCAAATGTCACCTAGTAAATGAAAAATAAGGAGTGCAGTTTAAAATTAGCCATGATGAGCCATGTCAAAAATGGAGCAAAGATATAAATACATAAATAAATAAGTAAGGTTGAAATGACAAGTATTTTTGTCGGACGAAGTGATGTGGATTTGTAGTACTGCACATCCCCCTGTACACACAACATTCACACCATGAAACATGGTGGTGGCAGCACCATGCTGTGTGAACGTCTTCTGCTCAGAGCTTATTGATCTGACTGAACTTGAGTTTACAAAGGACGAGAAAATAACATACAACAAAAGACACTCCCATAAATTGTTAATAGTAATAGCGACTAGAAATGCACACCACACTTTTTAGATTTTTATATGTAAAAAAAAAAATAATAATAATAAAAAATAAATACATTTTTGACCATTTTTCTTCAACTTTACAATCACACACTACTGAAAACCCAATTGATTGTAAGAAAAAAAATATATATGAAAAGTTCAAAAAGTAAAATTAATGCTGACTGTGTCTCCTCTAAATGTTACTTTTCTGGTTTAACTTACCAGACCACATGGTCAGCTTCTCAAAAGCCTCCTCTTGGCTGCTGGAGTCCTCCGCCAGGATCAGAGATGTATGGGTGTAGGGTAAAGGTGAACCCAAACATGTGTTGTATTTAAGCACCTCACAAGTGGAGGTTTTCTTGCATTTGTCCTCAAACATAGTCCCGTTCGGGGCCAACACTGCCCTGCAGCCCGACAGCCAGGCAGCCCAGACGCAAAGCATCCCAACAATGGGGCTCCGACCCTGGGAAGACATCTTGGGAGAGAAGACGGAAAAAAAAAAAAATCCAACGGATTTCAAAATCCTTGAGGCTTCTGCTACCAAACTACACGCTTCTCTGGTGAAAGCTGGTTTCTACGTCTGATTTATAAGTTTCCATACTCCAGAAAAGCTGCAGCGGGGTTGGGTTCTTTTTTCCTCTAAAGTTTTCTCGCAGTCCTCTCAAACTTTTTGCTTCTGCGCTTTTCGTCCGTGTCCCACAGAATCGTCCTGAATTCCCTCATTATTCAGCTCCAGTAGTCCCAAAAAGTATTCCTAAACAAAAACAAAAAAAAAAAAAAAAGAAAGGAAAGGAAACCAAAATATTGACTGATGAGTTCCAAATTATATGAAGTATTTGCTGGATGTGTTTAGGAAGAAAAGCATAACAGTGAATGTTGCTTCGCCCTACCCCCACTTTCAGGAAAAAAAAAAAAAAAAAAAAACTTGAAAAAAGTCTGGACCTCTGTAACAGGATCTCTTGCTCACATGCACCACCCCCTTCTTCTTCTTCTCCTTCAGCGGAAAACTAAAAATGAGAAATGATCCTTATAACTGCGTCCACATCCCGAGAATCACTTTTTCCTCCGTGTAGAGTATCTGGCAGAAGTCCAGTAGTGTGTTTGTACTCCTGTTGGTTGCAGCTCAGAGTCTGGCTGTGGTTTTTTCTTTTTTTTTTTTTTTGTCACTGGTATGCACATGGTGGGGGGAGAGCCAGAGCAACAAAACCTCCACTCCCATCCCCCCCTCTTGCTTGTGGAAGAATGTGCCTTATGGCAGGGGCCTTGCTCCGAGCTTCTCATCTGAAGGACCCCGACGTCAACGCAACACAGACTTGACAGGTTTGCTCTTGTGAAAGGAGGATTTTTGTAGCTTCGCTCGATTACAAACGCACATCACCTTTTAGGCTTTGCACGTATACGGTCCCATAAGAAACCCAGGTGGGCCTCGAACCAGGTGGTTTTAGATACAGATGTGGCAAACCGTCCATGGCCTGTCCAGTCCTGGTGCCACAGTCGTCGAAAACAGCAAACCGTTTTCATTGCTTATTTGCTAAAAGGAGATTAAAGTTGATATCTGATTAGAAGCTGCCGGCCTAAATTAAAGAGTTGCTGAAGGAAATCTTGGTTGCATCTGATCACCTATTGTTCAAAATGTAAAACATTGGTTGCACTGCATTGGAGTTTTCTTCAAAAACAGCAAAAACACATCAGGTGAATGATGAAGTATATTTTGTACATGTAAATGCAAATATTGCGTGGCAAGTTAATTGCAGTCCGAATGCTAAGAACCTCCTGCAAACAAAAAAGAAAATTGTAAGATGAGTTTAAAATGCAACGTAGCCAACTTAGCTACGTAAACACTATTAAGAATTTTGTTACTTTATTTATTGAATTGCTTATTAGTTTAACAAAATGAAACCATTTCTTTGATAAAATAATGAAGACATGTGCTCAAATAAAATCACACTAACAGTTTGTTTTATGAGTGTATACTTGCAATATTTTTCAAGATAAGCATATGTTGTTTGACACCCATCTTCAAATATTCTCAGTTTTGGGAAACTTTCTCTTTTTTTCTTTTCTTTTTTTTACATCAGACTTTCAGGATGTAACTTTTTCTTCTTGCAGATTTCTACTGAGTTTCATGTTTGAAAAAAAAAAAAAAAAAAAAAAAAAAACATCTGAATATTTGAGCATGTAAAGTTTTCTTATGCTTGAGATCATTGGCACCGCGCTCAAATAATATGATAAATGTCTATTTGATCTGACCAAGTCCATAGCTCAGAATTACTAACATTTTCATTTGGTAGGCTGAAAATCAACTGATCTGTCATTCTCGCGCTTAAGGTGGCTACAGAAGACTTTAATGCTCAAACTATTTTTCATCGATTGTTACCGAAAGAGCATGCGTGCATATTTGCAGGACTTTAAGTTGCTTTGTTTCTTCTCTTCCGGTTAAAACATGGCTGACTTAGCTGCATACTCCTTAAACGAGAGAATGTGTGTGTTTGAGCCTCCTTAAAAGTCCTCCAAAGCATGTATGAGTGAGTCAGAGGCTGCAAAAAAAAAAAAAAAAAAAAAAAAAAAACCAAAAAAAAAAAAAAACAGGACCACACACATAGCGCTGCAGCGCAGACCAACACACACACACACACACACACAGGTCAAGTCACACTCGCCACACTGAGAGAGACGGCCACAAAGACGTCACGTTCTCATCAGTTTCCCCACTAAATCACAACATTTGTTTGTGTGTTATGCCCAGAAACGCATGCCTGCCCAAAATTGCATCCCCTCTCGCGGGAGCGCGCATCGCTC